CGGGACGGGACGGGGCAGCCCGGCGCCGCCTCAGGGCCTTCCCGCCACCCGCGAGAGCGGAGCCATCGGGGTTACCCGCAGCCCTGGGAGCTCCCTGCACCTGAGGGGCCACGGTCCTCAGCACTGCTTCCGGCACCAACTGTCCCCTCCGCTCCCCATTCCTATCTTCCCTGTGTAATATATGGAAAAACAAGGTTATGACCCTTGTCCTCGAACACAAGCGGAGTTTCCTCAAGCCTCAGCACAGCCACATGACTAGCTGGTTACAGCCACCCTTGCACAGCAAGCACTGGAAGAGAGGTCAGAAGCACCCCCCTGCACTGCTAGCACTCATCCCAAGCATAACCAAAACCTTTGCTCCTGACCCAAAGCAGTATATTGACTGTAAGAGTGCATTAGCCCCATAAGTAACTTTTAAAAAATATTTTCGTGGGTAGGAAAAAATGTAAAAGCTACAAAGCCATATAGCTTGCCTTCTAGAGTAGCCCTTACCTTAGACAAGGTTAGCAGCAGCCACTGGATTCAGTGGTTTTCCTATTATGGATTACACCACTTTGAGGAACCTCAACTTTTTGAGAAGTGTCACATCACATTTTCTTGGTATCTTCAGGTTATAGGTCCTTCAATACAATCTGTGCCTACGGAGCAAAAGGCACCTGATACCAACCTTTTGCCCTGTGGAACTAGTGAAGAGTAAGAGCACTTAGATGCCACAGTAGTTTCTCCCTCCAAATGAAGCCGAGGTTATTCAGTCAGTAAGCAGAAGGCCAGAGAATGGGATTCACAGACAGTACCCTGCCTCAACTCACAATGTGCCTTTCTTGATAGGAAGAACATCCCTTACTAGCAGCCTCCTGGGAATCCATTTACTTGTATCCACACACCATGGCAGTCAGCCAGTCTGCATCAGCCTGCTGCAGTGGCCAGCTTCCCCCAGCAGGTCTGAAAGGCCTGCCTTTCCAGGGATCAGCCCCAGTGGAGCTTCCCCAGCTCTGGAAGGCCTGCCTTTCCAGGGATCAGCCCCGGTGGAGCTTCCCCAGCTCTGGAAGGCCTGCCTTTCCAGGGATCAGCCCCAGTGGAGCTTCCCCAGCTCTGGAAGGCCTGCCTTTCCAGGGATCAGCCCCGGTGGAGCTTCCCCAATTCTGGAAGGCCTGCCTTTCCAGGGATCAGCCCCGGTGGAGCTTCCGCAGCATGGGGCAAGAGAAGCAAATCCATCAAACTAAATTTCTTGAACTAAATTTCGGGAAACATAGGAAGAGTAACCAGACATCATGTACAACACATGTCAGAATATTTAGTAGTATCACTTTTTCAGAACAGTAAGATTTTTTTTTTGAAGTGTTATGCAGCCTAAACATGTATTTTTCCTTCCAGAGGCTAAGCCTATAACTTTTCCTCAGCAGGGTTTTGAAAACAGCAGAAAAAACCCTGATGCTAAAGACCTAACTTTCACTTCTGGCATGAAACATTGTTGAGGGTTGGTTGAGTTACAGGCTTTTGAAAATTGCCATTAACCTTTGTGCCTTGTGCAGTTCAGGTAAAACTTGCTCACATGCCAACAAAATAATTGCATGTGAACTTTCTATAAAAGCTCCAGGCACTCGCTGCCACCACAGCAGCAACAGACACACGTTGGGACCTGCTGCCTTGCTGCGAGGGCAGGCAAGGGCAGGGTAGCAGGCAGCAAGGCCCTTCCCATTCACCACATGCTTCCAGGAACTCAACCCAGTCTAAAACAAAAGATTCCTCCTCCAGCCATTGCAGCAGCTAATCCGGGAGTTCAGAGGGTAAGCTTGTAGCTCTCAAAGTTCAGCATTCAAATGCTGACAGTGATGCATTAGAGAGCTTAGAGGACCCAGTACACTGCCATATAATGCAAGCAACTTTCCACTCCTCCCCCCATGCCCCCACTCAAAAGTACTTTTAAGTAATACCAGCTCAAGCACTGCAAGCAGCAGTAGAGTGGTGAGGATTTCCCCAGGATAGAGCAAGTCAGAGCAAAGCTTGAAGACATGACTGCACTGGTGCCCACTCTGGGTCCTGACCTCCAAGGAGCTCTCTGCAGGGCATCTGCCCTGCACTGGTGTCAAGGAAGGAGCAAGAGTAGGTGCATGAGGGAGGTTTCACCATCCTGCTTCTGAAAGGTGCATTGGGATGTGTGGCTGGAGAGGCAAATAGCCACAGCACAGCCCTGCCACCCTCACGCTAACCTAATCCATGGGGATCTCACTTCAAAATTAACTTGAAAAGTCTTGCTCTCACTGCTTCTTCCAGTGGTATTGATGTGAAAGAGAAAATATGTAGTTACAACTTCATGCATTTCTTCGCCAATTGAGGGAAAATACTTAAACACTCTTTAATGAACTTAAATGTTAAGTCTTGCTGATCTGTTGCTTTACAATTGGATTTGCAGTGCTCTTCAGGAGAGCCACATAGAATAGACCAAGGCAGGCCATAGTACCAGAGTTTGAAATGGGCTTGAACTGTGGAATATATAAAATATATAAATAATATATATAAAATTAAATTCTGTTAGAGAAGTAGGAGAGCAAAAAAATGAACCCATGACCCTTAGTTTGACATAGCCTTTGGGCCTGGAATTGTAAAGCACAAATAGATGAATAAATAACAAAATGGTCACCATGTGGGCTTTGATAAGTGTCCAAATGCATTTAAAACTAAAATGAACTGTTCCTTAGCAAGTCCACTAATTTATTCCAGCCATCTGTGGCAGTATAAACAAAAGCTTATCCCTAAACTGCTTTATAATTTTTTAGATGTAGCACCGACCAGAAGTTTTAACATGATCATCTTGGGAGAAAAAAGTAAGCAAGAACCCCCCGCATTTTCACACTGCAAACATCTTTTGATAATCACTATCATGCAATTCAAAGAAATAATAAAAAGTAAAACTTGTTTCTGGCACAGCACTATGTTTTCGTATTTAAATGCCACCAAATGTTTCTTTGGATATTTTGGGGGATGGAAAAAAAAATCTGGCTCACTTTCCCCCCTACCCTCAGTCCCCAGTAATGACATCTGTATACAAATCCTATATTTATTACAAAGCTTGAGCACTGACGGCTAAGCAAATATCCTGGGTTTGCACTGATTTGAGAGACTTCTCTGTATGTGCCTCTTTGTTGTTGTTCCCTGCTGTGCTTCTCATGTTGCTGGACCTCAGGGAGACAGAATAGTCAGCAAGCCTGAGTGTTTATAGTCTAAAACATACATACACTCTACCCCAGATAAAAGCCCTTACATATCCCATAGTTTAAAATAGGATTTGTAGGTGTTTAGTCTCCTCCTCCTCAGTTCCATCCTGCTTGATAAGAGTATCTTGCACTTCATTTTAGACATCCTGAAGAGCCACTCAGCTATATCAGACCAAATAATCTTTTCTGGGCAAAACAAAATGCAGCCCACCACAGTGCAGAATTACTGGGTATAACCACAGTCTCCAGTGACACAGCACAGGGTGGTGGGAGGGCAGTGACATTCACCCTCTTCAGCACTGGGTGCTGGAAACAAAAGATGCCTCCTACCAGACAAGTAGATGTCTGGGGCGATCATGGAGAAAAATAAAGGTCTTCTGAAGGATGCGACCATTTGCACATATGGAGGTCCAGTACTATCTGGGTCTGCTGCATTTCCTGTGCCAACAAGTATCTGACAAGGGTCAGGTTTCCCTCTTGAATGAGACTTGGTCCAGAGCCATTTCACTGGGCAGCAGAAATAGGACAAAATCATGTGTTCATCCAAGTTTAAAAATGCCCGCAGATGTCAGCTAGCTTGCTTCTGAGCAAAATCCCCTTCCAATCCTCTCTGCCTTTCATACAGGGAAAGTTTCCAAGTCTCCAAAAAGTCAGACTCAAAAACTATTAAAAAAAGGATTTTCTACATACCTAGCTTTTAGCAACAGCCAGTATTTCTCTGTTCAGGTAAATATTAGAGGCTGACTTGCCGCTTTAAATTGCACAAAATGAACTACTTGATTTTTTTTTTTTTTGTAAGAGAAAAAGATCAGGCTTGTTTTTTCCTAAAGGAAATAGATGGAAGCTCAATGTCCCTGTAAATAATTACGACTCATCTTTCACCTCATTACATCTATTCCCATGGATGCAATCCCAGCCATATTTAGTGACCAGCTACAGTAGTTTTAAGCTAGGTTAATATCTTTCTAAAGCCTTCAGCTATGTCCTGTGCCCAGAGAGAAATCTGACAATACCACAGAATCTATTATTAAAGTACTTATGAAAGAAAAACATGCAACTAGTAGGTACTAGACACTAGTGCACTGTAAGGCAATTTGGTAGACAGGTTAACTAGAGAAATCTTAGTTTTAACAGGAAAGAAAGCAAGGGTAAAGAGTCACCTCATCTGATTTTGTAATGCAAATATTTTCCTTCTATCTCACATACAACACAGCAGTCCATAAGGATTGTCTGCTTGCTTGGAGGTGACAATTTACGCATAATACCAGTTATTTAGCCATGTCAGGGCACATAATAGCTTTATATTAAAAAGGTATCTTCCCACTTAGAGATATTATAGTATACAAAAATTACACTTTTTTGTTACCTAAATATATACTGGATTGTCACTAAAATACTGAAGCTTTCTTCCTTTACCAGTGTTCAATACAAATAGTATACAGCACTCTGCCCGTTTTTCACCCAACCCTTTGTATGCCTGCAAATTAGCTCCATATAGAAGATGCCATTAACTTGCAAATGATGCATTTACATTGCCCTGTGAGTACAGCGGCCGTGGTCATGTACACAATGAAACATATTGCTGCTACTGT